CTTGTTGATAGCCTGTCTTACTTCATTTTCGAGTATATCAGGTTCTTCTTCCACCTCGTCAGAGATTTGGCTAACAAGCTCTTGGTGTTGATCATCTTTATATAGGTCCCTGCAATACGATCTCCATGTCTCTGCTATGTCTTCTCTGTTTGTTCTCAGGGTTCCAGTGTTATCTTCAATGGCCCAAGTTCTGGCTCTGAAGTCTCTTGTCAGGTAGCGTATTTTTATAAATAGATCTCTCTAGATTTAATTGTTTTTATTACTATCCTTTGTTCTTGAACGTGAAATTTGCTGCCAGGGAAAAACCGTTGCAAATTTAGATGTTTTATGTATCACAAGCTTTTGAACTTTAACGCCGTTACAACGTCCTTAATAAGCTTTATATAATACTAGATAATAATGTAAGAAAATTTTTGGGACAAACCCCGATGTACCAAGTCACCTAGGAATCGAACACAGAAAGAGTCCCACAGGTCAATCTTTGATAAGGTGGGTGTCTGGGATGAGTGAATTTTCCCCTACGAGGGAGTGCGAGCTGTATAGCTAAATTTGGATTGTCTTCAGTAAACGAATTTAAAGGAAATATGAAGTTAATTTGTTTATAAAGCTATAGCTCGTAAACTATTTGACGTACAGTGTCCAAGTTTAGCATAAATGAACTACATATATTGAAAATATTCCTGTGGAATCTTAACATAGTACGTGAACAGCATAGTTGGTCCCTTAATTATAAATTATATGTAAAACAGATTTGTATTTGTAACTCATTCAAATTGATCGCGGTAAGCTTTATTTTGTAGGTCTTTTAAAAGCGATTAAAATAAGTTTTTGACATTTTTTGTAAAACAAACAGTGGAGAAAATATGCGAAGAAAAATTGTAAAAAAATAATACTGCAAATAAACAATGTCTCCAAAATTTTTTAGACTTCAAGTCCAACGTGTTCTACATAATTTTATCTAAAAAATTACTTAAAATCATCTAACTCCTAAAAATGTCATCAAAACGACGATTTTGAAGCTCTTCCCACTGGTTAAAGAAGCTATTATAGATTCACACAAAAGTTGTGTATTTTCAACTCTAAATTTCTAATTTAATTAATTATTCTAATTTTATATCTATATCCATAATAGTTCTAATATAATTTCAAAATGTTTATTTAAATTAAAATAAAGGGTTTCAGTTGAAAATTCAAAGTTGCTACACCCACCGCGTTCGCAGGGAGAATAAGAACCCTGGTATTGCATAAGTATATAGATTTTGAAAAACCATAAAAAAAAATTCCTAAGTTTCTTCGATACGACGTCTAGTTCTCGAGATATTTGACAATCGCCTTTCTGGACAGAGCTCTTTAATAATGTAAATAATATTATTCAAACCGGAAATAAGCCGAAGCGAGGGAGAGGTCTGACTGTAAAATTCATTTGCGATGTTGCCAAATTTACCGGATCTCGGGTTGTCTACAAAATGTATATTTAGCATATACACAACGGATCGCTCGCACTGCCTCTACAGCGGATTTAGTGGAACTACTGCAATATAAAATTCACCAAAAGGGTGCAAAATGAGGTCCAGACAAAAATCGATTTCTTTGTACCCCCATCATTGTTACATCGAGATATCACTATATACACGTGAATACAAGGTGAGATCCAAAATCGGATCTCGCCTTGCAAAACGGATCTCATTTTGTATAGCTTATGATACAAACGGATCTCGCCTTGATATGAAGACATATATATATATATATACGTATATATATATATATATATATAATATATATATATATATATATATATATATATACGTATATATATATACGTATATATATATATATATATATATATATATATATATATATATATATATTTATATATATATATATATATATATACACACATATACATCCTCTTAGAAAGGGCTTTAGTGACTATGTGAGTAATATATACGGATATCTTGGATTTAGTAGTCAATATTGGCCTTTAAGTAAAACTCTTTTACTTTTGTTAAGGTTTCGAGTTTATTGTACTCTTTTTCAAAACGTACTAAAAATTAACATAAAAAATTACATTAGAAAAATGAAGTTATTATATCTTCAATAGGCTTACCCTTGTGAGGATTGTGTTTTAAAATTAGCAAAATTAATTAACATAATGACATTATTAAATTTGATTTACTTTTTCGTTCTGTCAAAACTTATTACTAAGGTTTCCATGTCTCTTCTATTTTTTATATTTATTTTAGGTGAGTTTGACAGAGGTAGTGTCTGTTTATGCAAATCTTCATTGCAAATTTTGATATAATATTACAGTTATTAAACAAGCAACAGAGTTTATGTTACTAAGTAATTAAGAAAGAAAAAAACACAAATAAAAATAAATTTTATCTCATTTGAACTTGGAATAATCCCTTTAATATGCGTAACTTTTAAGAACTTTTATGTTGTTATTCTTTTATTTAAAAGAAGATTACTGTATGTAGCACTAAAATATAAAATATTGAGAAGGGAAAGAAATTACAACAAAAGAGTGTTTCTAGAAATGTGTTTAATTAAAACTACACAAAATACGTTCAACAAAAGAGAAGACATTGAAAATCTTAGTGCTATATACAGTAATCTTCTTTGAAATAAAAGAATAACAATATAAAAGTTCCAAGGGATTTTTCCAAGTTCAAATGAGATAAAATTTATTTTTATTTGTGTTTTTTCTTTTTTAATTACTTAGTAACATAAACTCTGTTGCTTGTTTAATAACTGTAATATTATATCAAAATTTGCAATGAAGGTTTACATAAACATAGACACTTCCTCTGTCAAACTCACCTAAAATAAATATAAAAAATAGAAGAGACCAGGGCCACCTATTCCGAAGTGCAAATTCGCGTTAACCTTGCGCAGCGACGTCACTCGCAGCTTAGTATTCACATTGCTCTTAATTGTATACATAAGCACTCGTAATTTAGTCATCCTAAATATGGATATTTTGCATATTATTTTACTGTTTTCACACATTTAAAAAAAAACGAATGTTTATAATGTTTTCTTAGTCAAAATATTTAATTTTTATGCGAATTAGAACAAATAAGGTATTAGTATAAAAATATAGCTACTTATTTAGGTACCTACATACTTCCACTTTTTATAAACTTTTAAGAAGGAACAAAATTTTTATATTATACATAATTGGTAAATATATAGTTAAGTTTAAATACTTAAAACAACCGTCACTTACACAAGTCAGGTTTACTGTCACTTACACAAGGTTTACATAGTCCACCTTCTGTCAAATGATTGGTCCAGGTGTAAGAAGTCGAACTTGGGTTAGTTAAATTTGGTAACTTGCCTTTAAGCTTGCTACAAATAAATCCTCCTAAATGTTCTAGTCCATCATATCTTAAATCATCGAGTTCTTCACAGAGGACTATGTCATCTCCATCCGTGGGATTGGTGTCAATGATTGTTTTTTTTAAAGCAAGCTTTTCTACCATACTACCGCTCATAGTTAATGTAGGAGTACCATTGTCTTCTACATTACAGTAATCTGAAAAAGCACCTTCATTTTTCCCATTAAATAAGAACGCAGTCGGTATTTAAAATCTAAAGAAGTTGGATGATCGTTCAAACCACCTTTTGCTCTTATGACTCCAAAAAAATTCTCCAAGTTATCTTGGTTTAAGCGTCTCGTCAAAACGTAGTTTATATTATAGCGTTTGCCTACATCTTCAAGCAACAACTGCAGAGCCTTATTTGATATAAGAATACCTACAATGTTTTTTAAAATTTTATAAATGTGTTTTTACTTTGATATACTGTGTTAACTTTTTGAAATGGAAGCAATGATTTCTTGCCTTTAACGCGCATTGTTGAAATCATGTCAGACATTCTATTTAAAATATCGTTTTGGGTTTCTAACTCCAAACCATATTCCCGGTTTCTGGTTCGAGTGTCGCTCACAGGAACGCTAACATTAAATACGTCAAACCAATCGTTCACCTATAACAAGTTAAAACAAATTAGTAATTAATGTTTACCTTACAAATTGTAACTCTTACTAGTTTAAAAAGATCTGCCAATTGTGTCCAAGCTTAGATTAAAATTGCGTTGTTCCGGTTTTAAGTCCCCTAACTTGACAAATTCCCAGAACCAGGCGGTCGGGATCATAATGGATTTTGATTCATTTATTATTGTATTATTAGCTTTTATTACATCATGTACTTTGTAAAGGACCGCTTAGGTATCATTTAAGAATAAATTTTTGAATGTTTTCACACGTTTTTATGAGTAGACAAAAATGCTCAATGCAATTTACAGGTATCGCAAGAAAAATTGTATTGTTTCTTACATATTTCTTCTCAAATTTAAGAAAAAGTAAAAATTTCTATCTGAATATAAAATTCGGTAGCGGTACAAGCGGCGAAATCAGTAGGTTTGGGAACACTGCTGCTACCTGCTACGCTGCAACTGACGTCACTTCCTGGCCGAAGATCGAGCGACCGTGCGCAATATGTTACCTCTGTAGTTTATTATACCATGAGAAGAGACATGGAAACCTTAGTAATAAGTTTTGACAGAACGAAAAAGTAAATCAAATTTAATAATGTCATTATGTTAATTAATTTTGATAATTTTAAAACACAATCCTCACAAGGGTAAGCCTATTGAAGATATAATAACTTCATTTTTCTAATGTAATTTTTTATGTTAATTTTTAGTACGTTTTGAAAGAGTACAATAAACTCGAAAGCTTAACAAACCTAAAAGAGTTTTACTTAAAGGCCAATATTGACTACTAAACCCAAGATATCCGTATATATACGATATATATATATAATATATATATATATATATATATATATATATATATATATATATATATATATATATATATGTATACATATATTTTAGTGAGCGTTTTATTGTTTTTGTTAAGGAATTAGACAAATAATACTAAATGCTAATACTAAATACTAATAAACTAAATTAAGTATTACAGAACCTACCTTGCTAAGGCTTGAGCTGCTTGCCTCTTTCCTTTATCTGTACCATTTAAAGCCAAAGGTAACAATGCCTTACTACCACCTTGAGCAACAACGACACCTCTTAACTCATGTTCGCTGCACAATGCATTAAACACCCTTGCTATCAATTCTTTGGAATTGTTACTCTCTGTCTTCGATAAAGCAACCAAAGCAGTTGTCACATTACTTCTTCCCAATACCAAAATTCGTTTTGTCACAAAATCGGGATCATCTAGTTCGTGCTCTTCGGGAATATGCTGCTTTGCGAATTTTGCCAACTCCAACATTTCTGGGATAACTTCTTGTTTTTCGTAGGCGTTACAAAGGTTCACCAAAGTTGTTATTACGCCGAAAAGAACCGACTGATCTTCAGTTTTCGCTAATTCTACTAGAGCTTGAAGTGCCGCGGAGTCCTCTATTAGCTTTTCTTTTACTTCAGCGTCTAATGTTAAATAAGAGAGACCTTCGGCTGCCCACTTTCGGATATCTGTGTCTTTACCTGGATGAAGCAAGAACCGTCTACAAGCTTCTGCTAATTTTAAAGAAGACCCTAAAAGAAACAATAATAGATTGAATAATAGAAAAGTAGATGTTCTTAATTTGATTGTCACAGGAAGAATAAAATATTAATTCAGTATCCGATTCTACTTTCAGTTTGTATAGTTTTCCTTAAGGGGCTGTTCAAGTATCACGTAAGCACAATAGGGGGTCTTTGCTTTGCTTATTTTTGATTACATGGGGCGGGGGTCTAAATGGTGATTAAGTCAGCATTATTTATTTATTTTTTTACACATATTGCTACCCACATATTAGATTTATATTTGAATTGAACAAATATGTATGAACAAATATGAATTCTAATGACGCCATTACAATTCATGAACATTTGATCAAATTTCGAGTTTGTAGTAAATGTGTTAGTTGAAGTATGAAGTTCAGTTGAACTGATGGCTATACTGTTACTGCAAAATACGTTGGGCCGAGGGAACAAGATCTTCCTGCTTTCCTGGTAAAATAATATTCAGAACATGTGTGAAAGCCAAAACTTGCTTCAAATTGTAAAATGTAGAAACAGAATGCTGTCGTCCAAGAAGTGGCTTATTTAGATTGCTAGACAACAGCTATGGGATGTTGGCACCTCATTGATCGAATTTCGTAAAAATAATTATACCGTCTGAATGGTCACGTTTTGGTCACAAATGGTCAGTTGGTTTCAGCTTTTGGTCAGGTCTGGTTAATTTTTTATTAAGGGTTGAAAATTTTCAAGGACAAAAAAAGATGTTGGCACCTCATTGAACGAAATCTATAAAAAAAATGACTACATTCAATAGAGATTAAAACGCTGACAAATGGTCAGCTATATTGAGAGTTTGGTCAGGTTGTTTTAGGGGTGAAAATAATTAATAAAGTTACAATCACCTTAGCACGCAAGCGCAGTCCATTAAAAATTTTAAAAATACCAGGATTGCAGTGCCTTGCCGCAATAAACATTTTAAAAATACTAGGAGAACAGTAGGTTCCCGCGTTTCCCTAAATCACTATGTTACAGCTAGTATTTCTGAAATATAATTATACCACCTGAAAGATCACAAATTAATCTCCAATGGTCAGATATATCCAGAAATTGGTCAGTTCTAATTAATTTTTTATTAATTATTGAAAAAATTTCAAGGACAATTGATGTTAGTTTCACATCTAAATCTTAACATTTTTACAAGACACCAAGTCTTACAGTGTTGCGCGATTTTGAATATTTGATGAATTGTAAGTTTTCAACCAGACACATTCTTTAAATTTTAATCATAGGAAGCGGTTATAGTAAAACTTGTTGATATCTAGATAGTGTAACAGTTGTTAATGATACTAGGAATTGTAATATATTTCTTTGTTTTGGATATTGGGACGCGATTAATACAAATATATTCGAACGAGATTAACTTCGCTGATAGGTTTGGCAAATATGGATCTCAATAATCATGCTCTCAAATATACACCGTTGTCGCTTCTAAAAATTAGTTTTTCTCGTCTAATATCATTGTTATATTTTTGTAGAATATCCAATTTATAATTCTTAAATCTGATCTGATTTTTATGCAGTCATTTTACTTATTCTTGTATTAGAATAAAGGTAAAAAAAATATTACTTAGACGCACAAATTCATAGCAGTTGTAATTAAGAAAATTGCTAAGAGTCATTAAAGATTCTAGAAATTCTCAAGTATTTTTGAGACATACTGTGTTCTGACTCAAGTATTCTGTGACTGTTTTCTGTTAAAATATTGATATGAAGTAAACAAAATTTAAATATTAGCGCCATATGTCATTTACAGGAAGTTATTGGTACAATATAAACTGTCAATTGTATTCACTTTTGGAACAAAATAAATTATTCTTAACCGTATACTCAACTGGTTCGTTTCATTTGTAAGTTTTAACAGGTTATAGTGACTCAGACCATTTTTTTCCGTTGGTAAATAGATAACCGTTGTATACTATACTATACTTATTATAGTAAATGTTAAGGTTCACAATAGCAGTGAATTACATGTCTACGGTGCCAAAGTTATGAGGCCGCGAAAATTACACTGATTGGGTTTTGCAGTGCAAAATTATTTTGTTCTAGAAGGTTTGTCCATGTGTTTGGATGGAACTGAAACCGAAGTAGATAAACAAGAAACATCTAAAGCCGAGTTAGTTCTTTTGCTTGATCCATCGTTATATATATATACTATATATATATATATATATATATATATATATATATATATATACATATAAAACAAGCAAAAACCGCTGAAGAAATTTGGGACGCTTTAAAAAAAGTTGTTGAGATTGTTATTTCTATCGATTCAATCAAAACAAAAGTATTGGACATGGAAAGTGATTTTGTTCTGAAGCTATTTTCTTGTGGCATTTTAAATTAATTAGTATTTAACTGGGAATAAGCCACAATTAAAGATAAAAATACGTTTATTGACGTTTCAATTTCCACTTCGGAAATCTAAATTTTTTTATTAGGTATGTGATTTCCGAAGTGGAAATTGAAACGTCAATAAACGTATTTTTATCTTTAATTGTGGCATAATCCCAGTTAAATAGTAATTAATTTATGGAAAGTGATGTTGGTAAGTGCGTTTACAAGTGGTACTAGTAACCGAATCAATCACAACAGACAGTTTGAAAATCACAGAAGTGATGACAGATAAATAACAAGAGAGACAAAGATCTGTCGAAAATTAGATGTTATCGTTGTAAATAAATCGGTTACTATGAAAATGAATGTCGGAAGGTTAAAACATCCGAAAAACAAGCGTTTAGTGCCGCTCTTCTCAATGGATACTTAAAAAAAACTGAATTCACAAATGAGGGTTTCAGCTGTTAAAAAGGCGTGGCATCAAAGATGAAATAAAAAACACCAGTCGCTCAACGCTGACACTTGTCAAACCAGTGTCATTGCGACTTTACTTTATTTTACTTTATTTTTGATAATTCGCGTTATTAACAGCTGGTAATTAATGTGTGACCATTTTTCTCAGCCAACCTTATATCAATCTCAAATTAAACATATTTGCGGCTACTTTTTGAGTGGTGACTATTATCAATGTATTCTCTTAATTTTAAATGTATGTAAAAATGTGAATTTGATGAAATACGTTATGAATGTAGTGATCCTTGTACTATAAGTTAGTGTTTAAGTTAAAGTTTAAGTTTAAGTACAATAGCGAAATAAAATTACATATCGTGCAAGACTAGTAGCTAGTATTAATGAAAGAGAATATATTAGACTATTGAGAAAACTTTGCGCAAGTAATAAGACATTTTTCATTAAGGTTGCTTTTTTACTTTCTATAAAATTAGGTTTGGATATTACTCATTTAGATGTTAAAACAGCATTTCTAAATGGTCATTTGAAATAGAAAATATACAGGCAATCGCCAGAAGGTTTTGATTTAGCAGGTAACAAATGTTTAAAATTAAATAAGACTGTGGGCTTAAACACTCTTCACGGATCTGGAATTATGAAGTAAATAATGTTTTGGAAAATATTAATTATAAGAAATCAAAACATGAGCCTTGTATCTATAAAAAAGAGAAAACAATAAAATTACGGTTGTAGAAGTATAAATGATTTTTGTGTGTTTTCGAATCATCAAAGAGAAACAACTAGACTAAAAAAATGACCTAAAAAGTAAATTTGTTACTAAAAGTTTTGATAGAATTAAGGAATGGTTATTTATGCGAATAGACTTTGATCCAAATAAAGGGTATATTTCTTTGAATCAGAAAAACTATATTATTCGGTTGTTAAAGAGATTTAATATGAGCTATGCCAAAGGACTTAAAACTCCAATTGAACCAAAATTATCTTTAACAATTGATGATATTAAAATTGTATTAGAGATTTTTTTATAAGTTTCCTTATCAGATGGTAATTGGTAGTTTGATGTATTTATCTGTTTTGGTCAGAACAGATATATCATTTCCAGTCAGTTTCTTGAGCCAATTTAACAATGTATATACTAAGTCTTATTTGAAATGTGCAAAAAGAGTATTGAGGTATTTAAAAGATACTTTAGATACCATTATTTATTCTCTGATTGACTCAAAAAAATGATTCAGAATTGCAAGGTTTTGTAGATGCCAATTGGGCAAGCAATACAGTAGATCGTAAAATCCTTTACTGGATATGTATTTAAGCTTTGTAGCTTAAATACATACATAATATCTTGGCAAAGTACAAAGCAAACTACGAGGCGGAATATACGGCCCTTTCAGAGGCTGTTTTTCTTAGAGGTTTGCTAAGTGACTTAATTGAAAAAACTGAATATATTACTTTATTTAATGACAATCAAAGTGCATTAAATTTATCAGAAAATCCAATTTATCATAAAAGAAGTAAGCATATTGATGTATGATGTCATTTTTTTGAAAGACCTAATATCTGAGACAATAATTAATGTAAAATATATGCCTACTGATGTTATTCCAGCTAACGTGTTGACTGGTAAAGCTCTAATTGCTAAAAATATTGCATAGATTATTGAAACTGTTTGGTATAGGTAACCTATAAATTTTGTTTTATTCGTAAATGGGGGTGTTAAAATATTGATATTAACTAAAAAATTTTAAATATTAGCACAATATATCATTTAGAGGAAGTTAAGATTTGTACAATGTAAACTGTCAATTATTGTATTCACTTTTAGAACAAAATAAAGTGAATCTTAACTAACTGGTTTCTCAACCGTTTTAACATTTTCTACTTGGATTTTCAGTTAAAAATTGCCGCCCATAAACAGCATTATAAGGGAGTGCAATATAATTCAAAATAATAGCAACATAGATATCTTTAACACCAACATCAAAGCCATTAAATTTAGCTTTCTACCTGCTTCGACCTCTATATCATAGTGTGTATGTCTAGTATAGATACGTGAATGTTTTAAATTCCGACTTTTTTTATTCTCTAAAATACGTTTGTTCTAAAATATAGATAAATAGTTTACTATTTATGTTGGGAACAAGCCACAATTCACTTTAAAATAAGTTTATTTAATATTTTGAATTCCACTTCGAAAATCGTTAAAATCCTTATTAAATGTTGAAGTTGTATATAAAATTAATAAAACATTAACCGAAGCCACGAGATATGTTATTATATAATGTTTAAATATTTACTTAAAAATGTAATTTAGGTTAAGCAATTTAATTTTGGTTTAAAGAAATATTGAAAAACATGCAACAAAGCCAAATATCAGCTGTTACTATCTTAGTAACAAAGAGTATGCGCATGCGTCTATCCATTTTCATTACGGAACACTACACAGATGATATTAGGGTAGGGGTAGTGTTCCGAAATGAGGTTGAGAACGATGAGCTGAAATCAGCTGTGTGTACAGCGTTGCTCGTCTTTCAATATTTCTTTAAACTTAAAGATTAAAAACTAAACTAAAACTAAAATTACATTTTTAAGTAACTATTATATAATAGTATATCTCGATGGCTTCCATTATTGTTTTATTCATTTTACATACAACTTTAACATTAATTAATGATTTTAATGTTTGTTAAATATATTTACGTGCATGCTATCAAAAATATGACCTTGATCTCATATACCTAGTATAGTATTATGATAAGAATATTGTTTTGAAGCTATTTTCTTGTGGCATATGAATGTAATTTACTATTTTTGTTGGGAATAAGCCATAATTGTACTTTAAAATAAGTTTATTTCTACTTAGGAAACCATATTTTAAGAACGATGTTCGAAGTGGAAATCAAAACATCAAATAAACTTTTTTTTTATAGTAAAATTGTATATACTTTACAACAAATTCATTTTACAGAATAAAAACAAGTAGAAATTTTAGATACACATATTTCGAAAAATATATATAGATACAGATTCACACATATATGTGTATAGGTATATACATATACACATACATAAAGACATCCATATATCTATGCTAGACACACACACTATTATATAGAGGTCGAAGATGGTTTAGATAGCTAGATTTATAATGGCTGTGGTGTTGGTGTTGAAGATATCTATGTTGCTATTTTTTAGAATTATGCATCATCATGCTGTTTATGGGCGAGCAATATGTCTCACAAATACAAAAGAGCCCTCTATGGCTTCACCTCAAGCTAATCTTAGATACCAAGAACTTAATACAGTCAATGAAGAATAAATAATCTTTAATTTTACTTTATTCACAATAACATATACAAACAGCATTACATACTTGCATTCTCCGTCTCTGTTCCAGTGTTACAAATTTAAAAGTTTCAAACATACTCCTCCAAAGGAGCGGTCTCACAAAACGTGAAGTGGCGTTCTCCATCGGCGAAGAGAAATAGAAAATACGTAATAGAAAAAGACAAAATATAAAGACGAGAACCAACAGAACATGGAGTACCGTATTTTTTCTCAATATTTGTGGTTTACAAACCCAGTGATAGGGCAAAACTGTCTATTTATTGCTGGCGGGTGCTATCCCGTTGTTTATCGTTAAATCGATCCAGTTTAAAAAAATCTGAAGCTGCGGCACCACATTACCAAACCTACGGAGGCAGTTAGGAGAGGTACGGTTATTGCCGACATAATTTTACTATAGAGTGGTCCAACGAAGTTGTGTTGGAATTTTTATTATTTTATAATTTTCCCAACTTGATAAAATTTTTCAGAGAGGACAAAAAGGATGTTAGAAACAGCAGAGATGAAAACACTTAAAAAAATTGATGGTAAGACACTATGGGACAGAGCTAGAAGTAAAGATATACGACATAGGTGCAAGGTGAAGAACATAAAAAACTGGGTAAGAAATAGAAGAGTAGACTTTAACGATCATATAAGCCGAATGACAACAAATAGAGTAGTAAAGACGACAAGAGACGGTTCTCCAATAGGAAGACGATCGGTAGGAAGACCACGAAAACGATGGAATAACAACTTACTGCAGGCACATTGAAAAACAGACAGAGTCATGTCTATATATAACAAAGAAAAAGAATCAAATTTTTACCACTAACACTGATATTGTTCTGAAGCTATTTTCTTGTGGCATTTTAAATTAATTACTATTTAACTGGGAATAAGCCACAATTAAAGGTAAAAATACGTTTATTGACGTTTCAATTTCCACTTCGGAAATCGTTCTCAAAATACAAACACTGGTAAATTTACTGTTTGTATTTTGAGAACGATTTCCGAAGTGGAAATTGAAACGTCAATAAACATATTTTTACCTTTAATTGTGGCTTATTCCCAGTTAAATAGTAATTAATACTAACACTGATGGCGTACAACAGAGTTAATCCTCGATAACGACCATCGGAATGGTCCTACTACTGGACTACTGGAATGGACTACTGTTTGGGATATGTCGATTGCATTTACCAAAAAGTAAATATTTACTAATTTCACAGTAACGTGGGGTGGGTGCCAACCGTTGTCTCTTTTCTGATCGCTAATATCGATTTTTTGTTTCCATTTGCCGAAGCGAAGAGCATCATTCCACGAGCTATCTGATTCCGGCTTAAGACACGCCTGTTATGATATGAATAATCATAACTGCGCAACCTAACGTAAGAGAATCTAGGGAGACCGTAGCTAATGTGAATTTTCAACTGAAATTCCAAGTAGAAAACAGTCGCAGAACACTTGAATCAGAACATAGTCTCGCAGGACACTTGATTTCAAGGATCTTAAGTAACTCTTCGCAATTTTCTTAATTACAACTGTTGTGAAATTGTGCGTCTAAGTAATATTTTTAACATTTTTCTAATAAAAGAATAAATAGAATGATTGCATAAAAATCGGATTTAAGAATCATAAATTTGATATTTTACAAAAAAATGAGAGGTAAAAAAACTATCTTTTAGACGCGACAACGGTGTAAATTTGAGAACATGTGTGATAGCATGCGTATTTGCCAAACCTATCAGCCAAGTTATTCCCGTTGAAATATATTAGTATTAATCGCGTCCAATATCCAAAACAAAGAAATATATTACAATTTGTATTATCACTAACAACTGTTACACTGTCTAGATATGAACGATTGTACTATAACCGCTTCCTGTGATTAGAATCTAAAGAATGTTTCTGGGTGAAAACTTACAATTCCTCACTTATTTTAAATCGCGCAACACTGTACGACTTGGTGTCTTGTAAAAATTTTACTATTTGGATAATAAGCCAATATCAGACTGTCCTTGAAAAATTTTCAATAATTAATAAAAAATTAATTAGAACTGACCAATTTCTGTAAATATCTGACCATTGGAGATTAATTTGTGATCTTTCAGGTGGTATAATTATATTTCAGAAATACTAGCTGTAACATAGTGAATTAGGAAAATGCGGGAACCTACTGTTCTCCTAGTATTTTTAAAATGTTTATTGCGGCAAGGTACTGCAATCCTGGTATTTTTAAAAATTTTAATGGACTGCGCTTGCGTGCTAATGTGATTGCAACTTTATTAATTATTTTCACCCTTAAAACAACCTGACCAAACTCTCAATATATCTGACCATTTGTCAGCGTTTTAATCTCTATCGAATGCAGTCATTTTTTTTATAGATTTTGTTCAATGAGGTGCCAACATCTTTTTTTGTCCTTGAAAATTTTCAACCCTTAATAAAAAATTAACCAGACCTGACCAAAAGCTGAAACCAACTGACCATTTGTGACCAAAACGTGACCATTCAGACGGTATAATTATTTTTACGAAATTCGATCAATGAGGTGCCAACATCCCATAGCTCTAGACAACAGGTTTCTTCCACCATCAGTAAAAGTGAAACAAACAGTTGATGACTTGGTTTTGGATGATGGAGGGTAATTTCTCAATCTTCCAATAAATTTAGCTCTAAGCTAATGCTGTACTCAAAGATTTCCTGCAAATGCCCTACGATTATTTTTGTGTGACGTTAAAATTAATCTTTTAAGTCGAACGTGCAAAACGTGGAGTCTTTATCATACTTCCGTCAAGTCACTAAATCGTCATATCGAGAATATCCACAAAAAAAGGTAACACGCACACGCAGATAAGTACCACAATCTTAAATGGGTCGATGAGAACGACGTAAACATTCCAAAATCGGATTAAAGTGAGCAAACACACAACATTAAGCAGCAAACATCTAATATCATTGAAAACTTATTCATGGATTTAGGTATCGTGGACTGAAAACTGTTAAATGGAATTAATATGTATACCAAAAATTTAGAAGAAGTTTGTTTTGTTCGTAATATTACTTAAAATTATATTCTTGTACATTACTCTATGTTGAATACTGTGTCAATAAAGTTTGTTAAATTAAATATTATGTGCGCTAAAGTCTTATATCTAAAATATATTTTCTTAACTCTAGAATTATAACTGCTGCTCATGAATCAATAAAAAAACAGAATACATTGGAAGAAAAATGAATATAACAATGTTTAAGTGACATAGGAGGGGGGTACGAGCTTTGCTTAATTTTGCTAACAAGGGATATGAGGGTAAATAATTGTAATAAATCTGCTTACGTGATACTTCAATGACCCCTAAGCTAGTTTTAGATAATAATGTTCCACTTACCTTCTGCAAAAGGCTTTAGGGAAGCGTCAGTACCGCCAGAACTCCCCAACTTGCACAGTCCCACCAAAGCTCTAATTCTGATGTGGTCATTCTTTGATTTATAAAGGTGTTTCAAAATATTGATGCCTTGATTGATAATGGTTTTGGCTTTATCTGCTTTACTAGCTGCTGCAATAATACACTCACAGGCAACTTTTTGTTGGAGTTCATCTTCTGTGTTAGCCATTACCAGGATCATTTCCATGATGCCTTCTTTGCCTGTAAGAGAAAATCATATATATATATATATATATATATATATATATATATATATATATATATATATATATATATATATATATATATATATATATATCTATATATATATATATATATATATATATATATATATCTATATATATATATATATATATATATATATATAAAAAAATATCAAGGACAGTAACGGGTTACTGGTAAATAACAGACAATTGAAGGTAACCGGGAACGACCCAATACTAAGGAAGCAATAAAAAACAGGTGCTTCAAAGTGAGTGTCTTTTATTAGTAGTCAAGCTTTCGCCACATAATTTTTGGGCTTCATCAGAACTTGCTGTAATGGAAAAACATTCTTTACAATCATCGTAATTAAAGATGTTATATTTAATATTACCTTAACGTTGACACTATTTCTTAGTGTAAATTATTGAAGATGTGGAACTACACATTGTTTTTCAAATACAAACCAAAACGCATCTCCTACTTAGAGGTAGACGGCAAACAAAGCTTAAATTAAATAATTATTAAATTTGTTATATTTTAATCACCATGTGGCCGGTATTATTTTTGACAAGACATTGATTAATTAAGTCATGTGTCATATCGACTGTCACTTATCGATACGGCACCTGTCTCAATTAATTCTTCTTTTTGTTGGGTCTAAGACACTACCTTTCTTCAGTCACATTATTATGACTGAATAATGAATTTCGTTTAAAATCACAATTAAAATTGAATATATGTATACACACATATATACATATATATATATCCATATACACATATATACACATGCACACACACATACGCGTGTATATAGTTCCCGTTCTATATGAGCATATCATGTTTAAAATTCTTTTGGTTTGTATTTAGTGTTGTATATAGTGGTCAACACTCCGGTAAGATGTATGTATTACATACCTTCTGTTAGAGAACTAAGTGTATCATGATGCTGATGGATGTAAAAATAAAACTAAAAGTTGGAGCTTGTTCTCAAAAGGGAGGTAATACATCCGGATAGATGTTAGTGTATATCACAGATATTTCGTTGTTTTTTTTTTACATTCATTTATGTTAGTAGTATAAACACAATATGTCCAAAGAAGGGTCGGACATTTACAGATATGCTAAGATTTAACAATAGACAATATAGTCTAGTTGACTGAACATAAAATATACAAAAGGAAAAACATTCTTTGTATATGACGTTAAGTTGTAAAATGTTTTTGTTTTTATTTAAAATTATTAACATATTGACTTGTAAGTTAAATTGAATAAAAGTATAAATTTAGTGTAGGCAATCAACTAAGTCATAAGAGGTTGAAATACATCAAACGTACGATTCAGTAAAGTGTGGATCAGCAATGTTATGTAATTCTTGTGTAATAAGGTGGTAGTTTTTTATTTTTAGTGAATTTCTGTTGTAAAACATAAGTATAGATGGAACTCAAGTTATCAACATCTTTTATCATTAAACCACAAAAAAGATGTTCGACTGTAAATGTCCGACCCTTCTTTGGACATATTGTGTTTATACTACTAACATAAATGAATGTAAAAAAAAAAAAAACAACGAAATATCTGTGATATACACTAACATCTATCCGGATGTATTACCTCCCTTTTGAGAACAAGCTCCAACTTTTAGTTTTATTTTTACATCCATCAGCATCATGATACACTTAGTTCTCTAACAGAAGGTATGTAATACATACATCTTACCGGAGTGTTGACCACTATATACAACACTAAATACAAACCAAAAGAATTTTAAACATGATATGCTCATATAGAACGGGAACTATATACACGCGTATGTGTGTGTGCATGTGTATATATGTGTATATGGATATATATATGTATATATGTGTGTATACATATATTCAATTTTAATTGTGATTTTAAACGAAATTCATTATTCAGTCATAATAATGTGACTGAAGAAAGGTAGTGTCTTATACCCAACAAAAAGAAGAATTAATTGAGACAGGTGCCGTATCGATAAGTGACAGTCGATATGACACATGACTTAATTAATCAATGTCTTGTCAAAAATAATACCGGCCACATGGTGATTAAAATATAACAAATTTAATAATTATTTAATTTAAGCTTTGTTTGCCGTC